ACTGAAAAACTCTGTGGACGACCCGAGAGACCCGAGCCCTGAAACAGGAAACGAGGGGAACCTGATAAAACCAAAGTGCATCCCCAGACACGGTACGCAGGTAACAGCAAAAAGCGCAACCGGACAACACAGGATGCACCCCCGGCCAAACCAATCAAGCATCAATAACCCAAGAACCCCTCCGGAAACCAGCCGTCTCAATCGTTGCCAGGACGGAGAAAGGCTGCACACGTACAATCTACCGCCAGTACCAAGGAGCAGAAACCTGAACCAAGGGGCTAACAGAAACTGAGGAGAAGAGGAAGGCACCCTACTCAAGGACCAGGACGGCGCAGGCGACGCATAAGCAGGCCAGAGGTGAAACAAAACACGAGAAAGCGTACGAAACGGGGCAGATGTGACGTCCACCCCGAACGCAAGCCGGAGCGGCTCCGATAGCACCGCATAAAACGAGGCAACAGTAAGAAAACATCCAATAACTGGAGTCCAGAAAACTCCAAGAAAGGACACGACAACCCGATGCGAAAGAGAAGACAACGTACAAAGAGCAAGAAAAAGTGCATAGAAACATCAGGAACGTCATACTGTTGCCAAGATGAAGCTCGCAGGTGGGACACCGTCAACAAGGCCACCTGAACACCACAGAGATGGTGATACCCGTGTCAAAATACCAGACGCGAAGAGCCGAGGAGAAGGCCGAACCAATCACATACAAGTCCGATCCGACCTGCCGAAAGAGGCGGAGCCGCGGGAAAATGCCCCGGGTTCAGACACCTATCAAGCAGCGTCTGAAAAGAAGCTGGGCCAGCCACCAAGGACTGCTCTCGTGGGAATGGGCTGCAACCGAGCCAGAACCCGAAGCAACAGCTGGACCGGGAGAAGAGGAACAGGTACCCCCACCTCTACCAGACCTGCCGAAAAGCATCCAACGTGAACGCCTCGCAGGTGGGTAAGGGCGCCACATAAAACGGGCGACGCCTAGACCACGCTGATTCGAAGAATGTCCATGGCCAGAAGTCCATACGTCCGGCGTAGCCAATGAAACGAATCGGCGACGACTGGCCAATCCGCGAACAGGGGAATGAACCGAGACAGCTGTCCGCCAGGACGCAGGACACACCCCGGACAAACTCACGGTTAGCCAAACCCCGAGAATCCAGCAAACGAGCCACTACAAGGAACCAACCCCAAAGGTCAACACCTAAGAGAAACCCTGTGGTTCCGGCAAGAACCGCCAGAGAACAGTCCGAATGGAACTGAATGGTAGAGCACCGAGTGACCCAAATCCTCCGAAGTGCAAACCGGACAGCCACAAACTCCTGAACCATGCTGCGAATCCGACGGACGGACAGACTCCACCGTCCCCGGCCGACCTGGTGAGCACTGGTCACAAAGCCCCAGCCGAGAGATGACCCGTCCGTGAACACATCGAGCGAAGGCTCGGGGAGGTGCCAAGGCACAGAATCCCGAAAACCCAAAAGAGGAAGCTGGTGACGCAGCACCAACACAAAATCCCCAGAGGAACGAACCCAACGATTGCAAGAGGCGGAAGGGGAGTCTCCGAAGGAACCAAACAGACGCCGAAGCCAAACCCGACCCCGCGGGCAGACCAGCACGTCAAAGTTCAGACTCCCGCACAACCGCTCGAGCAACCCGGGACCCCACATGCACAGCCGAAGGCGGGAACACAGCCGCAGTAACATTTCTGGAGGGAAAGACAAGGAGTGGCCCAATAGTCCTAATCAAGGCCCAGGTCCGAATCCGGGACGGAAAGAGATGGAATGGCCTCCAGATCACCAGGAAACCAAACCCGGCGATCTGGAAAGAACCACACCCCTGGACAGCAGATAAGCGGACCGACTGGGAGCCCACACCAGCCAGTCGTCGAGGAAGGCCAGACACCGAATCTCAAGCAGACTCAGACAGGGCACCAAGATCCGGTAAAGATGCAAAAAATACACCCAGTGCCAATAATTGACCTGGAGGTCCAGGGCCACCATCCAGGCACCCGGTCCCAAGAGAAGTCAGACAGGAAACAACAGTCCTCCGAGGAGGGCATAAAAACCAGGGCGCAGACTGAAGAAGTCCAGAAGAACCGCAGATTCGAAGGCCCATGTCTGCAAAGAGCAGACGGGAACCCCAGAAGTATGGGGCGGATCAACCACGCCCAATGCACCCACCAAGATGACATGACGAACCACAAGGAAAGAAGCCCACCCCGCCAGCTCTGAACCCCCCAAAGGAGGAGAAGCCGTCCACCGCTGCCACCAGAGGCCGGAAGACAACCAAAAGCGCCCACCAACAGCAGGACCATACGAGAGTCAACAGAGCAAGCTGCTCCCCCAGTGCCCCATCAACAGAGAAGGGAACAGAGCCTCTTCCGAAAGAAAAAGTACACATACACATATATGCATATCACGTATATACACATACACACAACATATGTGACACACACGTGCGTATGCACATACACATGTGCACACACACACAGTGTACACATGTACATGCGTACATACACTTGAAAAGAAAATTACAAGCCGCCAACCAGTGGGCAGAGCACACGCCGGCCAGGCAAAGAAGGCACAAAACTGCATCAAAAGGCCCACCTCGACAAAACCTCAAAGCCCCAGCACGACCACAACACTTGCCAAGACCCAAAAAGATCAGTCTGCAAGCCAGGAAAACCCTGGAACTCCAGAAGGCAGAAACGGAGTCACACACGAGGAAACAAAGCCCCCAGAACCCACAAAGGGGCCCAAGAGGAAGAAACTTCCGGAACGAAACCAAAGAACCCAAAGGAACCCGGAATCGAACCAGGGGGAGGCCAAACCACCACATTTTGCCAGTGGAGAAACACCACAGAAAGGCAAAGCACAGCCCCCAGACAGAACCCCCTGGGAAAACGGTCATAACAGACCAAAAACCGAGGGACAAGGTTTAGGAACAAGCATAACAGCCAGGAACACAGCCCAAACCCAAAGGCCCAGACCCAAAACAGATAAAATGGAAAACCCGGTGTAAAATCAACACTCAAACGTTCCCAGAGGAACAGGAAACGGGCAGAAAATACCAGAAAAGCAAAGAAACGACAACAGGAGAATAAAACCCCCTGAAAAAAGGCGAAAACTCACCCAAGATGCTCGCTCGCACACCTAGTCGCATGTAAACAAACCGCAATGCCGCCCCAGTGGCCACGCCGGGAAACCGGCAGACAAAAATGGCCGCCAGAACAGACGGCTGTGACTGACGCTAAAGATACAAAAACACGCCAGCAAAAGTGGGAAGCAAGCAGACTGGATAGGCGAAAAATACCGCCCAAAAGCAGAAAACGCAGACAGGGGCAAACCGCCCCAGAACTGCTAGCAGGCATCCCCCACAGCCCCGGGAACCAGCAACAGAGGCCCCGGGGCAGAGCCATCCTCCAAGCCCTCTGCCTTTAAAGAAAAACAAGAGTCCATCAGAAATGCAGCAAGAAAGAGCCGCTGGTAAGACCCAGAAGCCTTGGCAGGAGGAACCGGCTCAAAAACCTCCATCCCCCAACCCGAACAGAGCAGCCCCCGAGAACCGCCAGAGTCTCGGCCCCAACTAAACCCCGCCCCGACCCCTAAACCCGCAGACGGTCTGGAGCCGGGAACAGGGAGGGAAAGGGACGAACAGCACCTAACCAAAACGGGGTGGCCTCGGGGCATCCGAGTGGGGAACCAACCTAGCATGTTGCAGCAACCTAACCTAGCTTGCAACACGGATGCCGCCTGTACTCTGAACAGTAATAACAACTGGAGAGTACTGGAGAACAAGCAGAGAAAATATCTCGCAAGACTCCGGGTCAAGGTGTCAGTGACCCAACAGGCAACATGACGGAGGTAAAAGTGGCGACTGTCACCCGGAGACAAGGGCACAGCAACCTACGATCCCGTACAAGACGGGATGGAACCCGGAAGACACATTAAATGGTCCCCCGAGCCCAGACAGGGGTTTCCAGGACCCGTAGGCTGACTGCTGCGGGAAGCCCGGGCAAGGTGTTGCTAAACCGGTAGGGGATAGCACTGAAAACCCCTGAGACGTGTACAATCACGGGGGTCTAGCAGAGGGCCGCCAAACACTACTAGTGAAACTATAGCCACACTGGGCAGACCCCACCAGGCAATTGAAAATAAAAACAAAAGAAAACCCCCGCAAAAGTACACCATCTCCAGAGGCAACAGGAACCGGTCGCCACTTAGGTGGCAGGCTATGCAACACCTTGACGCCCTAACCAGCACAATAACAATCCCTACCCAGGGCCAAACAAAGGCCCAAGCCCCAGCTGGCCCCAAGGGCGAGGCAAATGCCGAGCAGCAAGAACCTCGACGGGAATGGCTCCCGAACGCCCCAGGGAAGATAACCCTGTTACGCAAGGGCAGTACTCACAGGGTGCTTAGGGAAGTCAGCCACTAAGCGCATGCAGCCCCGGCACTGATGAGGTACGCCTGGCCACCGCATAACACAACACACGGCAGTAAACGCCACACAAGGCAAACACCGCCAAGGAAACTGAGGCCAGAGAAGCGTCAATCCCGGTTGACATTAGCTTACGAACTGAAGATTGGCAGCCGGCGCGGTAGGTCCGGGGCTTCCCCCTCCCCCTCTCGGGGCAGGGAGGGCTGCGCGGACGATCAGTGCGGCAGTAAAGTGTGATGTTTGCTTGTTTCCTTGGGATTGTAGGAAGTTTCTACCTCTCTGTTCGATTTTTGTTTTAGTTTTTTACCATGTGGGGTTTGTTTTGTCATGCCTACCTTTCTGGGTGCCTGATCCCGGTCGATGGCAGATAAGGAAAACCCCAACTACAAGAGGGTTTTCCAGTGCCATTGCTCCCTGAAACCTCTCTGAAGGGGCCAGGCTCTGGTGCTGGTCCCTGGTAGGTCTGAACTCCTTAGCTAATGTCCTGGTCTAATATAACATACATTAGCCCGATAAGCTCCAGGGAGCTGTAGGGGCTCCCCACAGAAAACATTACTAACCTGTCTTGCTACTTGAAGAAGCAAGTAGTCCAAGTTATGTTTTGCTTGGCTGTCAACGTCTCTATCTCGGGATTTCTTGCTTCTACTAGAGATGTTAATATTGTTCTTGAAACAATGATCTAAGTTATCACAGTTAAAGGACCCAACGTTGGTTTCAAGCTCATTTATGGACGCTGTTGTTCCCATTGTCTGATCCTCTACATCCTCCATTTCAGGAACAACCTGGAACAACTGTGCAGTTTGGTTTTTGTATAAACCTTTTATAGTATTTCATTAAAATATAATAAAAATATCTTATGTCAGTCTTAAGTAAAATGATTACAGTAAAAATATTTAAGGAGTCTGATATGTATGCCACTAAATACTTAACCCCTAAGTTGCGCAACACATCATATGATGGGTTGAGTGACTTGCTATAAAATGCGCATCCCATCATATGATGTATTGGAGTACTACGCAAGATTTAAATGGCCCGCAGATACAAGGGGTTCACCTCACTTTCATCAGGGCTCATATAAACAGACGCCATTTTTTTTAAAAATCGTGGGCCAAATTCCCGGGTGTGAGGGCCTCAGTATTGAGTGAGCCACTAAGCCTGACGCACGCAGCATGAGCTCACAGCACTTCTATTCAGCTTGTGACCACAGCATCGCCTAAAAATACCATAATATACATGTTCATGCTATTATTTAGCGATGATATTATTACAGAAGACCTGTGATAAAAATGACTAGAATTCTGATAATAGCAGGATTGTTGTGATAATTAGCACTGTAGTGGGAAGAGTAATCTTGGTGGGGAGGGAGGTAGCATTGTCTGCTGACTGTGTGGCCACCTTTTACTGTCTGGACTCACTATACCAGCTTAGTTGTTCGCTATGGTAAACAAAACATGCAGATACTTATATATAGCGTCTGTATATAAAAGCAAAAACAGTATGGTGGGAGGAGAATGTTGGTGAGTCAGGTGAGGTGAGGGAGGGAGGGAGCACTCAGCATACCAACTTAGTGGTTTGTTATGGTGAACACAAATGTAGATACTTATATATAACGTGTATATACAGTGTAATAACAGCAAAAAGAATGTGTGGTAGAAGTCATTTTGGTGATGGGTGTGGCAACATCTGCATGATTTGTCATGTTGGTAGGGGTGGCCACTATGCTCTTTGGGCATTATACCGGCTTAGCTGAACAGTTATGGTGAACAAAACATTTAGATACTTACATATAACGTCTGTATATAGTGAATAAAAGCAAAAACAGTATTGTGGGAGGAGAATGTGGGTGAGTCAGGTGCGTTGAGGGAGGGAGGAAGTAGCAGCCAGTGGCGGGCTGCTTGTAAAAGCACCTTCATCACCTTCAGTGATTAAGTGCTTAATTGCACACTAGTTTCTTTATCAGCTACCTCACCCTGTCAGAGTAAATGAGACAAATGTATGTGAATGCATGTGTGTGTGTGTGTGTATATATGTATGTATATGTGTGTGTGTGTATGTATATGTATGGGTATAAAGTATATATGGAAGCTGATCAGAATTACATTTCACCTTTGTGAATGTACATTAATGACACTATGTAAAAGACACATCTAACACTTTATGTAGGGCATACGTAAATCTGTGTATCTATGTATTTACGTATGTAGGTTAGCTTAGCATTTTAAAAGCACCGAATCACCTTCTGTGGTTGAGTGTTCAATAAACCCTTGAACTATATGTTTAACACTTCTCTAACCCTGTCCATGGAGGACTGAAGAAAATGTATATATGCTGGTTAGCATTGTAAATGTGTGGCCACGTCTGTGGTAGAAAATAAAAAAAAAAAAAAAAAAAAAACTGCCACTCAGCATGCCAACTTAGTGGTTCGTTATGGTGAACACGAATGTAGATACTTATATATATGGTCTGTATATAGTGAATAAAAACAAAAACAGTATGGTGGGAGGAGAATGTGGGCGAGTGAGGTGTTGAGGGAGTGAGTGGCAGCGAGTGGCTGGCTGGTGTGTGGCGGTCACTCCTTGTTGCTTTTTTTTTTTTTTTTTTTTTTTTTTTGAGATATATACAAGAGTTGTTACATTCTTGTACAGCCACTAGTACGCGTAGCGTTTCGGGCAAGTCCCTGGAATACGATCCCCTGCCGCGAAGAATCGTTTTTTCATCCAAGTACACATTTTACTGTTGCGTTAAACAGAGGCTACAGTTAAGGAATTGCGCCCAGTAAATCCTCCCCGGCCAGGATACGAACCAATGACATAGCGCTCGCGGAACGCCAGGCGAGTGTCTTACCACTACACCACGGAGATTTTGACTCACAATAGCAACTTAGTGGTTTGTTATGGTGAACAAAACATGCAGATACTTATATATAACCTGTGTATATAGTGTAATAACCAACAAAGTATTTGTTCACTGTTTGATGAACATAATAATTGCATCAACAATATGTACACCATATTTTTGAATACAGCGATGATTCACTCATTTTATTATATAAATATATCACACTACATGCTATTGAATAATATTACAGCAAAAAAAACTATAAAAATCAATCAGAGACACTGAAATAATTAGGTAATTATCTCTTTGTGGCAACTCCGGCCTGACAGCTGGGAAGCAACAGACTGTCTGGGATGCACGCTGAGTCAGCGCCTGTTTTTTGCCAGACTTCCCTGCCCTATGGCGGGCAATATATGCCACTTAAGACTTTTTATTATTCTTCCCATGATCAGAGAACACAAATTAACAGTTTCAGAAGAAAATTTTTTTTTTTTTTTTTTTTTTGGTATGCACCTGTGGGTGACAAATGCTAATTAGCCCTGAGCAACACAAGGGTTAATAAACTTGGTCACAAAATTGTGGAACAATCAACAGTACTGTATCTGCATAAGTAATGAAGTGAAGAGTAAATAAATATAAGAGTAAATATAAATATATAAAACCAGAATTGAATGTAACCAAAGACCAATTTCTTGGTGAGCCCCCAGTGGCTCCCTGAAGCTACTGTCACTGATGGTGTGCCAACTACTAGGTTGCATCATTTGCAGAGTTCTATAGGCCTACTGGAACCAGCACCAGAAGAACAAATCCACAAGCGCCGTGATGAGGATTCGAACCTACGTCTGGGATAATCCCAGACACGCCTTAGTCGACTGTGCCACGACATGGTCAAAAGAATGGCAACCGGGAGTGCTACTGCCCTCACACGGATCCTGTAGCCTCTCTGAGACACAAACCAGGGTTTTTACACAATTCCCCCATGCACCCGGGCGCTGTCAACAAGCTGTTCTACCTCTTCGCCACTACTTCAATACTCCCGGTTGCAATTCAAAAGAATTGCACTCCTGGTTATAATTCTTTTGACCATGTTGTGGAGTAGTCAACTAAGGCGCTTCTAGGATTAACCCAGATGTAGGTTTGAATCCTCATCACGGCCCTTGTGGATTTGTTCATTTGATGTATCATGCTATTGTGATTTCTGTGTGTACAGTACAAGAACATGGCCCCCCCTCACAGAGGTGCAAGAAGTGGTGGCATTTTTTCTATTTATGCCACCACCAGGGAAGGCATCCAAAAAGTCATGGAGTCAGCAAGACAAAACAGACCACTGCTGGCTTAAATAGAGACTGCCTCCATGGAAAATGCCAAAAGAACTCCCCCAACCATGTAAGCAAACGATCTCCAACTAGTGTAAGCTCATTCACCTCACCTAATCCACTCATTTGGGGAGAAGGAAGGCAGTTCACAGTCAACCAGCTACACCACCTTTAGGGAGGTTGTCAGGGAGCCACCGGGGCTCACCCAGAAAATGGGGTTTCATTGCATTCAATGATAGTTTTATGGGGAAAGTCCCCTTGTGGCTCCCTGCAGCTAACTACCGACGGAGAAGGACAACACATTGGCCCCTTACTAAGGAGGTGGGAGTACCTCAGATGTCTGGATGAAAAAGAAAAACTTGATAAGAGGTACAACCAAAGCCACACAAGGGCACCAAGGCCTAAGCACATTAACATCATACTTGGCCACGAGAACCCTTTTTGACCTCCAAAACACTCGTACCTTGGATCGATTCGAGGAACATTAGAGAACACTGTCAACAGAGCAGCATATATATTCAGACATCATGAGCATGAGTGCAGACCATAGGTTGGCTAGGCTAAATGACACTGTGGACAACCTGAGAAATGTGAGCCAAGGAACAGGGAACCAAGGTAACAGGATCTACCCATAAAGTGTTACCAAGGAAGAATTGATGGCCCGAAGGTAGCAGTGGAGATTCGCTAAAATACAAAACTCTCAATGCACCTCCTGCTGAACCACTCAAGCATCAATAACCCCTCTGGATGCCAACAGCTTGTTTTTTTTTGCACCCCCCCCCCCCAAAAAAAAAACTGCGTTGAATGTAATGAAATGCCATTTTCTGGGTGAGTCTCGGAGGCTCCCCGGAGCTATCCAGGCTGATATAGATACCTTAACTATTTTGCATCAGTCGATGTGGGGTGGAGTTCTAGGCCTACCAGGGACCACGAGCCAGAACCCTTTTGGACCTCCAAAATACTGGTGCCTTGGACTGATTCGAGGAACATTAGAGAACACTGTCAACAGAGCAGCATATATATTCAGACATCATGAGCATGAGTGCAGACCACAGGCTGGCTAGGCTAAAGACACTGTAGATAACCAATCCCCAGCCACAATAAATCGAAGGAAATAGAGAAAAAAGCACCCTGCCACAGAGCAGGACGGCTCAGGTGGAGCACGACCACGCCAGAGGTGAACAAAGCCCGAGACAACCCGTGAACGGTGCAGAAGGAACAACAAAACGGGAGCAATCCGAACCGGCTCAGCCAGTGCCGCACAAGATAGGGCAATGGTATGCTGCCAGAAGACAGCCCTGAACCACCACTAGAGAAGGACAAGACCATGACAACAAAGAGAGCAGTACACCTACAAAGAGACAAGAAGAAAAAAAAGGACCGCCAGAAAACCTCATACCGCTGCCGAGACGAAGCACGCAGGTGGGACACATTCAAGAAGCCACCTGATCACCAAACAGATGGTGAAACACTCGAGTCAAAAGTACCGGACTAGAAAACTCTAGGAGAAGACCGAACCAGCCCCACCACAGATTGGACCGACTATGTAAAAGAGGCAGAGCCATGGGAAAACCCCTGGGCGCGGACACCGAGCAAGCCGTGCCAAAACCAAGGCTGTCAAAGAACCA